CTGCCCAGGGCAGTGGTGGAGTCACCGTCCCTGGAGGTGTTTAAGGAGAGGCTGGATGTGGCACTTAGTGCCGTGCTCTGGCCCATGTGGTGGGGTTGGGTCACGGGCAGGACTTGATGATCTCAGAGGGCTTTTCCAGCCTCAGTGATTCTGTGATGTGGAGGATGTACGTGCAGAATCGTGCGCTCCCTTCGAGGAGAGGGGACAAGCAATCCTTTTGCAAGCCGCTGTTTGTTCGTGCTAGCGAAAGAAAGTGGTATTTCTCTTGAATTCTCCTTTTTGCTCCTCACATCGTGCTCCTTCGTCAGATGGTTGTTAACGTGTGACCTTACAAGTCTCTTGGGTTTTTTTGATATTTTTTTTAATGTTTACACGCCATATTGTGCATCAGGTGTTGCACACACGGCGTTTGCCTGATAAAATGTTTAGATATCTTGGACAGTTTTTACTATTGAACATCTGTTAGAAAAAAAACAAGAAAAAAGTACCTCTCTTGAACTGATTGTACTATTGCATGAGGCATTTTTGCTGTCTTCTCCTTTCGTGGGTGTTTCAGATGTAGCAGTAATAATTGCAGCTTTCTTGCCCCAATTTAGAGAGCAGAACTCTGAATTCTGGGTTTCCCAGTTTGCTCCTGTGGTCAGAAGAGGGTTCTTTGATTTGCGTATTCTTTGGTATTTTTCAGAACTTTCATACATCAATACACTTGGTTAAAACCGGTGAAATGCTCATCACAGAGACGTGGGAACAAAACACTTCACTGAAAGCAAATCAGCTTCCTTTTTCCCCTCCACAGAAGTGGTCTTTAATTGGGATAAACGTTCTGGGGAAAAAAAAATTTAAAAAAATTTAAAATGCTCCTGCCTTGTAGAGGTTGTCAGCGACATTTATCATCTGATGAAGAAATCCGGTTCTACCATCCGCGGTCTGGTATCTTTGCAACCTTCTATCACTGATATTTGTTTGTTTGCCAGTTTAAATCAGTTTGTTTGCCAGTTTAAATTTGGTTGAGTTTGGAGCCGAGGCCAGGCTGTGAAGGCACCGAAGCGCCGCTGCCGAGGCTTCGCGTGGGGCCGACCGGGCTGCGGAGGCGATTGTAGCCTGGGCCGTTGGCTTGTATTTGTTAACTTGTTTTGAGCCTAAGTGCGTGTGATGTGAGCTAGCGTTCTGGTTTTCAAAACCAGTTCGGCAGTTATTTACCTTTCAAGCAATTAACGTAATTACCATTATGCTAAGAAGTAATTTTGGGAAGTTCTGCTCTGAGCCCTTATGACTCCGTCGGGACAGTTTTAGTCGGGACTTATCTTTTTGATGGAAGCCTAATTGCAGTTTTGGCTTTGTGTAAACAAACAGAGGCGGCTAATTGTTTAGGCAAATAGCAGATTAATTTAAATATGCATCCCTAATAAAACAAAAATGGTCCCCATTATGGTACTCATTCCCATGGCGAGGAATATAAATATTCAGTGGGAGTGCCATTAGACAGGGATCTTAAGGATTATCTGCATTATTTCACATCGGTAGCACTTTCCACATACCAAATAATCTTTACAAAAGCAAACATAAATCAATTTAAACTCATTTAGATACCATTTCGCTACGTGCAGTTTCATTACCACACTCTTGCTTCACCTCCTTTGGGACGCGGGAGGAGCGTTTGCAAACTGGCATCGGTGCCCGTCCGCAGCTGTCTGTCAGAGCTTTTATGTCTCCTTTTCGAAGGAAGAGCTGCCATTAATCATTTCATCATTAATGGCCACGCTCAAGTCGAAGGAAGGCACCTCCAGCCCTGCCTGTCACGGCTGAAGATTGCTTCGCCGGTAGTTCAGTGCAAAGGTGACCCAGAAGCCTCCGATTCCGTCTGGCCCTTCTGTTCTGTAATACGCTCCTCATTGCTTCAGGTTGCTTTTATTCAGATTATTGCTTTAATGTGCCGTGCTTTTAAAGAGAGTATCGGGGAAAAAATACGCACTTGCGGGTGTATTGTCTTTTGACTTATACTCCTGTATTCTTATTTGTATTCTTTAGGGTTTTTTACTCTTCTGCGTTTTCTGTTTTTCCAGAGTATTGGGATTAGTGGTTGTAAACCATTACGAATTGTATTAAAATCCCTGTGCAGAGCCTCAGGTTCTTCCAGACTTTTCGGTGTGCAGCAGATTTGAATGTGGATTCTTCCCTGCTGCTTCTTGTGGTAACAGAGGGCAGGTTTATAATAGAAGAAGAATGCAGGGATGTGCTTAAGCCTGATCTTGTCCAAGCATGGAAATGGGAGAGAAGTCAAAGAGTCTTCTACTAGGTAGACACTAATATTATCTGAAAGTTAAAAAATTAGGAATTATTTACGGAGAGCAACAGAGCCTCTAATGCCAGAGCACCTAATTTTGGAAAGTTTCCTCTGAGCCCGTTCCATGGTGCTACCGAGTGTCCTGGAGTTCTGATTTCCTGCCCTACAGTCTCTTCTCTGCAGTATCAGTTTTCTCCGTCTTTCATCTTTAAGTAATCTTTTAAAGTTTTGTTAAATTCAGAGATAACTCATAGTGATTATTTCTCTGTGTGTGTGTACAGGAACCGTTAGCGTCTGGAACCTGATGTTTGGGCGGGAGCCCATCCATCGTTACCAGCACAATCAGAGGATACAGGCTTTAGCCCTTGGTTCAGAGGGCGCGACGGTAGCAACGGCATCTGGCTTCGAGGTCAAGGTGGAGAGCCCTGATGACAGAGGATTCTGGCAAACTACAGGAACATTTGAAATCCAGAAGTTGGTGAGTCTCCAGGCTACTCAGCTTCATTCCTGGAGCTCCCGATCCGCTAATTATTTTTGGTACAGTTAAGAGAAATCTCATAAAAACCTTACAAGGGTGGTGCCTGAACTAGAGAACAGCATTTTCAACTGGAGGCTGTGATTTTGAAGCAGGTTAATGGATGAGCCTTTCATCACCGAAGAGCAAGGGTGAAATGCTGGCTTAAGACACAAGTGAAAATGAATACAAGTCCATATGGTGCAGGAGGTTGGCTGCTTTTAATTATTTTTTTGTCAACATTAAACTGAGTTGGCTCGTCTTGTAAATCAGCTTTTCTCACGTAGAATTGGAGCTAAAACTCGAGGTCTCATTCCAGACCAACGCTGTCTGATTAATTATGAGGCAGGATATTGCAGATGAGCTAATAGTAGCACTTGCGAAGCGGTAACTAGTTGTGCAGCATCTTTAGGTTGCACCTTCTGTCACTGAAGTTTTGAGACTATTTTAATGAAAAACAAAAGCTATCCCATTCTCTGAAGTTCTGTTATATCTCAGAGTATCAACTATTACTTTTTTTTTCCTGAAAGGGGAAGAAAGTGCATAGGAAATAATCGAGTGTTGCAGCTTCTCTGCTGTTGCAGGAAGCGGGCTGTGCAGCTAATGAGTACGAAGGTGTGGTTTAAACACCTCCTGATTAATCCCCTCTTGCAAGGCTGAGGGCAGTCATACAGTACTTAAATAAACAAAATCCCCAAATGTTTTAAGAGGTTTCCCAGTAAAAATGTGAAAAGACCACCACACGATCCCCGGTAGCTGAATCTGTCTCGCTGTCACATCCTGCTGTCAGTGAGGGACGCTCAGGACGCTGCCCTCTCTTGTAAGACTGGGTTAGAACAAGAGATTTAAACCCTTCCTGTGGGGAGACTTTTCCGCAATGTCTTAAGAATTACTGAAATGGGAAAAGCAACGTCCTTCTGGTCTTGTGACAGAAGATAGCGGGGCTGTCCTAGAGTCATGCGATGACTTTTAATTTAGTGTATATATATATATATGTGAGTGCCAGGTAGGCACCAACTCTTCCATGTCAATAGCATGAATGTGTTGCCTTTTCTGGAGAATTCACATTCTGCCTGTCCTGGAGAATTCACATTCTAGCCATGATATTTACTTTGTGCGCTTTATCCTTTCTGTCCTTCATCTGAATGAGGCCATTAAGTCTCTCTCTTTTCTTCAATGTGGCTTTTTTGTGGGTTCTTCTGTAATGTGTCCTGATTATTTTTTTTTTTTTATGGGCTCATTCTAAAGACTGTGAGCTAATTCTCCTCATAGGAGCTAAACTTGCAAAAAATTCAAAAAACTGATGCTTGATCTTTTTCTGAAATTAACCCATAATGGGGATAATTCAGTTGATAATCACGTCAGTAGTGTGTTCAGTGTGTGGCAGTAATGATGCAAAATAAGTTTTGGCTGTAATGAAAATTAAAAGTCTGCTCTTTTTAGGTCAACTTCCTTAATCTGGTTCCAGATGTTATGGGGAGTCCGGTCGCTGTAGCAGCTGCAGAAGACATTGTCTATCTCCTGAAAGCAGAAGATCCTGGGAAAATTCTCCATTCTGTCTATGGTCAGCCTGTCACGTGTCTCGATGTGTCTGCTCATGAGGCAGCCTTTGGGGTCAAAACCTTTGGCTGGTTATTGAATGAGCCCAACCAGGTAATTAATTACAATCTGTTGTTCAACTTTTATACCTTCATAATTAACAAAAGAAAAAAGACCGTTTCCTTCCCTGGTATTCAGTTTTTGACAGTAGAGGGAAGACGCTCTCTTAACGGAATAATCTGATGCTTCTTATCTTCTAGTGGGTTGAAGTAAGGGGTAATTGTTCAGCTAACTGGCTTCACTGTGAATACTTTGCTCCTCCGTGAGTCATAGAACCATAGAATGTTAGGGGTTGGAAGGGACCTCGAACAATCTAGTCGCCACTCATTCAGCTGCACGCTGCGGCAGTGGCCCTCTAGGGGGAACTCGTCCTGAAAAGAAACAACTCCAAACCCCCATAAAGAACCCCAAAAAAGCCAACACAACCCTCAACCTTTCTGTTTTGGTTGTCTGTCGGAGCGTGTCAAGCCTTGTACGTGCAAATGTGCGGTCTTGGGAAGATGCTTCGTTTTTCATGTGCCCTTGAATATTTGAACAAAGTTACTTCTGGTTTGGTGAGGGTGTTGTATTAAATGATAACCATAGGTCTGAAGCCCCCTGTGACACAGCCTGCTTCTTTTTTCTGCACATGACTGTGCAGATAAAAAAAAACAGACTGGTTTTGTAACCCTGCTGAAGACTGGTGCCTGAGGCGTGCTTCTAATGCAGCTCTTCTCAAAACTTCTCTGCTTGCGGGAGGTGCCCTTTCGGGCTTGCAGGTCTAAATAGGCAGCATAAATATTTGTATTTGGCGGGGGGGTGAAAGTCCTGCCTTAGATCCCAAGTAGCAGTAACCTGCTCCTGGACACAGCCCTGCTGCGGAAAGACCTGTTTCCAGGTGCCTTGAGAAGAGTCTCTGTCCCCTTCCTACATCTTGCCTAACTTTTCCGCTCCCTGATTTCATTCCGTTCTTTTGTGTTGTACTTCAGGCCAGTGGTGAGCTGTCAGCAACGAGGGGAGGAGAGTGCTTCAGGCAGGTGGAGAAGGAAGCAGGAGGTGAGCCCCCAGATGAAAGGAGCTGGGGTGTAAAAATGCAAGCCTTTTCTTTGGCAAGAACAGGAGAGCTTGATTTAGGACTACCTCTGTGTTAGGAATAAACGTGTCCAGCTGTATCTAATTTCCCCTTAAAATTCACATTCACTAGGGACACGCCGAGGCCACCATAAATACCTCTAGGGTTGAGAGATGCTGCGAGGCCGTGCTGTCTTTATTAATTCCTTTGCTGTCCTAATCCAATTCTTTTCCCTTTTTTTTTAGAAGGTAAAATTGCCTCATTCAGGAGCATTACAGCAGTGATCACCTTTGTGCCTCGTAAAGGGATAGAGAAACCTGCTTAGACCCTCGAGCGTCACTCCGTAAAGCCGGACATATTTCCTAATTTAGTTCTGAACTATTTGGCATTTGATGGCAGATTGTATTAAGCGGCGCATCAGCGCGCATCCTAATCAGGGAGATGGGATTGAAGTCGTCCAGACGGCTGGGGTGGGTTTGACAAGGACGCTCGCTTGGCATTGCCGCAGCAGCTGACATCACGCCGGAAATTAATTACTAATGTCTCTTATGATAATTATTCGCCTCGCGCAGACGTGAAGGGACTCCGCATTGGCTGATTACGCTGGTCACAAGTTGACAATCTGTCTTGAGGAGAGCTTTCGGGCTCGGAAACGTAACGGTGAAGAATCCCAGCCCCGTTTGCTGCTGGCTGTGATGCTGTAGTGCGAAAGCTGTGTTTCTTCTTCTCAGTTTGGGGTTTTCTTTGTTTTTCTTGAGGGATTTTCTTTTCCTTTAGCGTAAGCTCACAGTCTTAATGCTACACTGCCTGGTAACCTGCTTCCCGATGAAAATATAATTAGGGTAACCATCTTTTTCCTTTCTTATTTTTTAATCATTGTCTAATTCGAGCTGACTTTGACAGCAAAGTAGAGATCTAAGGCATAAATTGTGTAGGAACTTTTTCTGTTGGAGAGGAGAAAACCATCAAATCTGTGGCATAGACTTGCGTACTGTTGGGTGACAGACACCCGTGCAGGAGGGAAAGGAGAATAAAAATGCTTCATCTGTGAGCGATTCAACTTTCATGTTATTAAGCACCACAAACTCCAAGTATGATGCTGTTTCTTGGAAGTTTGTCTGCTTAGTGCTCCTGGAGCTCTTTGTTTTATGTTAAATGAAGAGAAATCTCTTCAGTAAGGTTTATTTCAACTGTATTAGCTCAACGTGGAATGTACTATTCTCCTTAAATTCCAAATTCTTGATCTCCTGAGATCCATGTCCCTACCTAACCTCATACATGACTAAAAATATCGAGCAGATAATGAACCGCGGGGAAAACCCGAGGCTGGCTTTCGCTTTCGACCTACAGTGGTGCTCATGACATCCAGTGGACAAGCCTTGAAGGATGGTGTCTGGCAAATAACGTATTACCCTGTGTCGTACAGTTTGGAGACCCGTGATCTCGACGCTGCAGCAGCGACACAAAACTCCTGGCATTCACGCGGTCGAGTTCTGGGTGTGAGCGTTGTAGGCAAAATTAAATCCACAGGTTTGAACGAGAGTTGGCTTTGGTCCTCTTCGTGCCAGGATGTAAACCTCTTGAAGAGGTCAGGACTAACATCTGGTTTCTGATGCAGTTTTCTCACTGATGGTAGGATCTGACTGAAGCTTTTCTCGTAGTTGATGTGTTTATAAGCTTCCCCGAATGGACCGGCTGCTCTCAAGTAAGTCTAATCTCCTGCTGTGGATTCAGGTGAGCTCTCTCCTGCTTGAGGATTATTTCTGTGAAATTTATAGGTGCTTTGTGCTCTTGGAGGGGAAACCCCCAAACCCAACTTTTTCCTGTATTTAAAATGTACTTGAAATTTAGTAACATTTTCTGCCGTTCTTGGTGGTAGAAGATAACGAGCACGGGAGGATTTTTTTTTTCCAACCCAGGAATCTTCATGTAGAACGCAAGAGAATTTTATTTTAAATTCACACAGCTGAAGAACCCTTTTTGTGGTGTATGCCTTACAAGGGGAACTTCAGAGTGCATCAGTGGCTTTGATTGCTGAGTGCACAAACCTGAACCTTATTTCAGATGGGGGAGAGAGGAGGGAAGGAGAAGACAGTAATGATTTTAGAGCCTCCAACCTGGGAACAGAAGGCTCACTGTGCTGCGATCAGATGTCTGGGGAGCTGTTTGTTACGCTGCCGCTTTTTCATTTTTCATTCAGGCTGGAGGTTGGCTTGTGCTTGATGAGTAGCACTCACCGTCACCTGTCTCTCTCTTCTCACCAGCCGCTGCAATGCTGCCTGCTTTTGCTCCTGTATTTAATGTTTCCGCAGAGTTCTTCAACTGTTTGCTGATGGGAGTAGAATTAACGACTTGAATGAATGCTATGGACTAACAGTGAAAACCAAATTTTGAATATTCCTTTAAATGGAATTTCATACTCTGCACTCTCTCTTGGATGACGTATTTAGGTCATAGCTGCTTTGTATAAGCCGTCACATCTTTCTTGCACCTTATTTTAACTAAAAACCTCCTTTTTGTTAACTGTTAGGGTTTCGTTGTCTTCTCTGATGTCGTAGTATCTCCAGTTCTGAAGTTCCAAAGATTTCAGATTTTTTTTTAATCTTGATCTTTCATGTTTGAAAAATGCGGTGTTGTTTTTTCAGTTTTGTTAACTGCTGTGACCCTTGTAAATAGTCCAGTTTTCAATAAGCTGATCTTTATGAGCTCTGGTTTTCATACCAGCAGAAGGGCAGGTCTTAGTGGCGGCTGAATTGGAACGCGTGGGACTTGGCCAGATATTTCCTTTTGGGGCTCTGTAGGGCCATTGAGTGTTAGTGGATCTTCGAAGGTGGAAGTTGTTTGAAATACCTTTTTCTCTATGAACTCTTTGGTACCGTGCAGGGGAGAGAGCGCTCCTTCTGAGGATCTCAACTGTGGAGCTTCTTATAAGTCAGGCACTGCAAGAAATACAGTCCTGCAGTTTTCCTTGCCTAAATTTTGCCTGATGTATCGATTAACCCCTCTCCTGCTG